CTGAATTTTGCTCATGATGGATGCATATGTAACCGTAGCTTAAATTGGGATGTATAGAGCTTTTTATTTTCCATCTAAAATGGAAATGGTATTCATCTTCAATTATATTATGATTACGCTGATTGCACCTATGTTCAGTCAACAAGTTAATTAATTTGGCTTTTCTCTTTCCTCTGACCGACCCCCCACTCTCACCCCTACATACAAACCAGGTGGACTCATTAACTGGAAGAATTTTGAAATTTAAATTTTTATTTGCAATGACAGGAATTACCTGCAGATTGTTCCTTCATTTCATCTGACCACTGACCTACATAATAAGTCTGTGATGGTACCAATGTAGGCTGCACTATGCCAAAAGTGAGTAGGTAAAACTGCTTTGAACATTAGTCCAGTTATATCACATCATGTCAAGGGATGAAACCCAAAAGTGATGCAGATCTTAGATGTTTAGTAGTTTGGTGAAATCCACAAGCACATGTATGGTGCTGACAAACCTAGAAACATAATCAGGGCAAACTATATTCAAACCCTGGATCATGTTGCAACTCTGCATAGCACATACAACAGGGCCTACTACTAAATTAAATAATGATGTTGAAAATATTGTTTTCACACATGGACTTCAATGGAGTATGTCAAACTTTACAGATGTATCACGGGAGGAACATTCGATGAGGTCCTTGTCTACAAGCTTGGCACGTGTGGCCGAAGGTTGGTTGGTTGGTTTGTTGCTTACACCGCACTCAGCAATTTTCAAGCTATATGACGGTGGTCTGTAAATAATCAAGTCTTGACCAGACAATCCAGTGATTGATATCATGAGCATCTATCCATGCAATTTGGATAGATGACATGCATCAAACCAAGTCAGCGAGCCTAACCACCCGATCCCATTAGGGCTTCATCGAGTACTCGGGTACTCGGGGCCGGGTCGGTTTTACTGGGACTCGAATCCGTTATCAAGGACTCGAGTACTCGATAAGGGGAGATCACTCTGTTTCAATGTTCAATTGTTCATCAATATATGTTGATTAACGCTTCAAAAAATATTGTTTGAATAATGTATTCTTTGTAGAAAGTAGATTACATTAGAACAATTGGGAATGTCACATAAAATAGACGTAATTATTGTTTTTCCTTCCCGACTCTAAGAAATTGAATGTATCAAGGCGATTATTGCTTCTTTGCTCCGGCTCAAATGCCAAGTGTATTCCCTTACACAGATTAACAACTGATTAGCTGATATAAATGTGCTATTTCAGTGCTTACAAATCAAGCGACAGGTCGAGGGTTTGGTACAGTTTGAAAACGTGACCAACTCATGAATGAATGAACTTATAGTACTTCATTTCCATTTTAGCGGCCTTTGTCTTGCAGCCGAGCAGCTGTGTATGATGTATGTCACGTGATGCACATTATCGATTTTCTTCCTGCGAATTATTGTTCATGCTTGTTGGCAGGTGTCGAATGAAACGCTGATCATCAGAAAAAAACCAACTTTGTTTGTGTTCAATATGTATTGTAGTATTTGTAGACGTTGCGTAATGTTTTTGAAGGTCGTGATTAAGATTAGTGCAGTTACAAGCAAACATTAACACTGAACACTTCCATCATGCCATACACTTTGACAGATAAACAAGTTCCGTGGACGCTCTCTATTTACATTTCAGGGCAGTTCAATTATACTTATAACATGTTTTAATACTTTTAGATGGCAATTTTGATCTAATGAACCAATATTCTTAAAGGACGTCCTATTTTCGGGTACTCGAGTACGAGTCGAGTTTCACCCCTCTGGCACTGGAGTCCAAAAATTTGGACTCGTGGAAGCCCTAGTCACCATTTTACGACGAGCATAGTCGCCTTTTACGGCAAGCATGGGTTGTTGTGGGGCCAAAGGAAGAGATTTTACGAGCGACTCACATTATGACAGAACTAAACTGCGATTAGCTTATGTCTGAAGACACTAATGTAATTCGCAGCGGTCGATATACAAATTCAAGTGTACACTTGATTTCTGCTAAGCAAACTGTCCACAAAAACGCCATCATGACAAATGAACTACATCCGACAGAATCCAGCGTTACACAGAGAAATCAGGCATTATCACTTGCCTTGAAATAGAATCACAAAATATCGCTAATATTAGTTAACGAAGATAGCTGCATATGTGCTTATACTTGATAAGTGCAAAGCGATTCAGGCGACAAGGAATATTACTTACAGTGAAAAGCAGCGCTTTTTCTGGAAATAGCCATTTTGTTTTGATCACGTGATTACAAACGGGTGTCTGCGAGCGGATATCGCGTGCATCACGAACTAGGTCAAGAGGGCTAAACGCTACACCTCATGGGGATTCGTGCACTGAGTCATGTAGTGAGTGGGATCAGTTGTCAACAGTACAACCATACACCTTTCATTCTCAAAGTGTATATGACGAGCCTGAATGTGTATGTATGGGCGCCTGAAGGATATGCTGCTGATTGGTAGTCGATCTGGTAAGATGCCTTCTTAATGTTTTAATATAATTGTAGTAACAGGCATTTGTTACACTTTCTCTATCTGGGTAAAACGCTCTATATTTGCTATATTTCTATCAATATTCAGAATAATTTTGATAGGCTACTCCAACTCGTGTTTACATAGCAACCGCCGCGAATAGCTGCGAAATTGCGGAGGCGACAAAAGCGACAAAACCTACTGCATATCTTATTAAATGTCTGCTAAACTCCGAGTACATCGCACTGTTCCGGCTATGTCATAAGGAAGTGTTTATCTATCAGCATAACTCGAATGTTTACAGCCCGCTGTATGACAGAAGTACTGCTGTGCAGCGTTAGGCAACAAACAATTTTTAAAACACCTACATTTTCTATGTAAATTGTTTGAGTGGTGTGTCGCTACCGTTACAGCAGAAGAATGTTGCTGATTTTCAGTGATCTATTCATATAATTTTCTCGACTGTTTTGTCTTTTACTCCAAATGGAATCTCTTACGGCGGATGAATGAGATTTTCGAATGAAATTTACAGGTGTCAAATCGAAACTGAAAAAGCAATAGACTTGTCTCCTAATTCCACATCGACACTTTTTTTATTCGTTCATTCAGATGTCAAATTATTATAAATCTATTTGCACTTAAAAGGTAGTTCGTCATCAATGCTTGCACTCTCGATTCACCACTCACAAAATCCCCGCGTACCACGTGGAACCTTAGAAGGAAAACGCCTTAATTTGTATCATGATACAATGATATGTGAGGTGACGTCATCTTCTTGGTCAGGGAAGTATCCAAATGTAAAGAATACTGACGTCCCTAAAACTGTTATAAACTTTCTCAAGTTTTCAACCAAACATATTCTCCCATCTGTTCCTCGAACATTGTAAAGAACCTTAACTCATTTCCTACCTTGCTGGTACCATTAAATGAAACTGCCCACCGACCAAGGTTGGAAAACAGTTATTTATTGCAAATATCAGCATTCGTAATTATGTCAAAGTCGAATCAGCTTTTGTAAGAAATGCAATTTAATTTCAGTAGAGTCTGAGACTGCAGAATAATATACATATTAATTCATGCATTGATGCTAGGTTTGTTTTAACGAAATATGTTAATTACAGGCCGAGTTATCAATAAATATCACCATGCTCAATGGCACAGAGTAACTCGTCTCACACTGGGGACAAATACATATAGAAAATGCTATTGTGTGCATCATATAGATATGCCACTGTTACCTGTCCAACAATCATATCACACAACAGGGATCCAGAAATAGTTCGCCTGTGTGAAGCTACCACAAAGACGGAGAGCGCTAGGATGATAGTAATTGGACCAGTCAGGAATGTTTTATGAACACCAATGTAACAGCTTAATACCGATTGAAGGGAAATACTGCTAACAAGCATGAATGATTCTTATTTGTATCTAAAGTAGTTGGTGTCTGATACCCTACCCACCAAACACCCTTTTCATGAGATGACGTTCATAAACTGGATTACATTTTTTGAAATTAAATACAATGGTTTGATTGAATAGAAAGACTGTGATAACACTTCAAACATATTAATTAAAAACAGTATGTTTCCTTACGTAACACTGTGCATTTTAGTTTGTTTGTTTGTTTGTTGTTTAACGCCGAACTCAGCAATATTCCAGCTATATGACGGCGGTCTGTACATAATCGAGATAATCCATTGATTGACATCATGAGCATCGATCCACGCAATTGGGATACGATGACATGGATCAACCAATTCAGCAATCCTGACCACCCGATTCCGTTAGTCGCCTCTTACGACAAGCATAGTCGTTTTTTACGACAAGCATGGGTTGTTGGTGGATTTCAGTTGTTAGATAGGAAAAGCTCGCGTTTCTACCTATTGTGAAGTTTACTCATAAACTCTTTCATTATCACCACTTCAACACATATTCTTGTACCCATAACAATAAATAGTGAATAAAGCTATGTATGTAAATCAACATACAATACGAACATGTCTAGCTATGTATTACATCAGATCATGAAAAGCGATAATTACTAGTATACATTCACAGGGTATGAAACTCCCAAAATTTTCAGCCAGACCACAGGACTGGCTAGCTGAAGTATTTGCCAGCTCTGACCAAAACCTGCCTGCCCACTATAATCATTTGTTTCTCAGGATAATTTAATTAAAACTTTAAATCGAATTCATTGAACATGAAGTAATGCAAGAAAAGAAATAGCAAACACCTTTTAGGTCAGATTTGTATTTAATATCCTAGAATATATCATGTAAATAATGCCTATCATCGGGAAATATTTAGAATATTTTTACATATGAAATATAACCCGACCGTCGGGCAGGGGGATTTGAAAATCTGGGAGCCCGAGTTGAAATCAACCCGTCTCGGACGACCGGGCAGGCAGGTATTTCGAACACTGCAATGACATTCAGTGTGAGGAACATCTAGTTACCTAAAACACTACTTAAGATAGGTGTCCAGATACTTACATTCTCCTTTCGTAGTTCTGCAAACTGTCTTCTCGGGCACCTACTGTGATCATTTATTATTGTTTGTACAATATGTCATAAGCTATATTTACATAAATAAACCAATCAGACTACGCACAGGTAAATGCGTTTTTTTGTGCATAAATCGAAGTGTTATGCTGCACCGACCAATCAGTGTGAACACAGCATAGTTCCTGGTATAAGGTAATTCGCTGTGGACTTGTTTTTGTCTTCTCTTCACAGATGCGTGACCTAAACTCACTTCCTGGTCCATTCGTGTACTTGAGACAATGCCACTCCAGCAATCAATTTATTGAAACAGTGTAGTGTCATACGTCGTCAGATGTTAATTTTGTGCTTCTTCATTTGCTTGAATCGTCACGATATGGTTGAAATATTGGCGATGTGACTTTAAATATTAACCCACTCACTCATTTGCTTTAAAATAATTAGTCTCTATGGATATTTATCAAAGGAGTAATCTAATATTTGTATTTATACCGTCAGTGCTCTCAATCCTCATCTAAATCCGTCAACTCTGTAAATTGAAACAAACGTTAGAAATTACATTCTCTAAGCAATAGGGCGTTTGTTTTTGAGAGGAAGGAGTTAGAGAGAAACTCTACAAATATTCGGTGACCCAAATATGTGAGCTGCTTGATTTCCAGATTGACAATATCTTTGACATAAATGGGGATGTACGTTTTGACAAGTGATGCTGTCCCCCATAGGTACTAACTGTGTCCCTCTCCTGGCTGATCTGTTTCTCTTTGCACACGAATCGTCCATGTGAGTAGTATATAGGTACATTATTGAAATCAAAGAACGAACATGTTGACAAACTCAACCACAATTTCAGATATACTGATGGCCTCGTTTGTTTCAACAATGTCACGATAAATGAGTATTTTCACCAGAGTTGAAAATCAAAGAAAAAACTGAAAATCCGTATCTAGTTTGCTGTCTGTAGCAATGTATAGAAATGCAAAAATGATGACAACCTCTGTACCAAGCTGTATGAGAAGCTGTAGGATATCGATTTTTCCGTCGTGGAATTTTCCCTTCATGTCGAGTAATGTACAATCAGCTTCAACTAATGGCGTCAACATCTCCCAGCTGCTTTGGCAAGGCTTGTCAATCAATGTTTCTTCACCAAAGATTTGGTTAAGTGATTCCAGATTTTTGGTGGTAGACCTTCAGAGGAATTTACAAAGTATGACGTGTCATATTTCCTCACATTTCCCGGTCGATGGATCAGAGTGATCTCGGATTTTCATGCTCTTCTGCCTAGGGAGTAAACAGCCAAAGCTGCCTTGTCGGGCGGTTGAAAGTTAACACATTCTCATCCTACCGGGTACCCATTTCTACTGATAGATGAACAGGGGCATATTGGTGACACCATATGTGCGCGTCAGTGAGAGGCAGGAACAAAGCCCTAATAACTCTCAGGAGTCGAGCTGCCGAACGCAGTTACCAATCCAACTACTCTCCGCGACTGACGTTACTTAACTTCACCTCATTTGTGACCACGTGACACATGATGCGCGATGTTAGCTATACTATGGGCACACTGGACATTTACTGTTATGGATCGGGTGGTCAAGCGTGGTGATTTCATTGAGAGCTTTGCGTGGTACCCTGACGACGTGTATCATTGATCATGATACCGATCACCGATCACTCTGATCTGGTCCAAACTCAATTCTCTACAGGCCACCGTCGTAATGTAGAAGAACTTGCTGGGTACCGCAAAGGACAATAACAGAACATATATATATACAATGTATTGTGTGTGTCGGACCTGCCAATAGAGTAGGACATGCTTACTCTTTACGTGAACACGTGCTTCCTGTGGCCCAGTCATATAATTTGCATAACTATTCACCCTTTTACATTCTATGTAATCTGTTCCGGCAGTCAATTGAGACAGATTGCCTTTGACGTATTCACTTTCTTAAACGTTGTGTAATCAAAATGGCTAAAATGTACCTAAATAAGTGAGGAGGAACAACCCAAGTCTCATGTATGACAAGAAAAGAAAAAGAACTTGCGGTCACAACAATGAAAAACCCGAAAACAGAGAGCACCGATGCTAATACAACCTTATTCTGATTATAATGATCAGACAGGGTTGAAGCACGCGGACCTGAAACTGCCTGTAAGTTAAGAACCTGGATATTCATTGAGGCAAACGGCCTCGCCACCCAAATTTTCATGTAGTGTCGAATGCTTTTCTAGATCGAAAAAGATAGACACTGCATGCTGTTTATTTATTGTGGCATTTTTCACAAATGATTCTGAACGGACTAAATGATCACTTGTACTTCTTATGGAAACCACATTGAATATTTGTACCAAACCAGTCGATCATTTAACCATGCGTTGCATGGTTTTGCAAACGCAGCTGGTCGGAGTAACTATACGATAATTTGAAGGATCAATATGATCATGTCCAGGTTGGTATTAATGGAACAACTATGGCATCACGCCATAATGATGGAAATTTATCTGATGTCCATATTTCATTAAGATAAATAGCAGAAAGGTTTCTAAACATGGGTCTGATAATTGCATCAGGAATTGATCATGTATATTTCAACTCCTGTTGTAGCAGTTCCATGAGCTTGTCTAAGAGTATTATGAAACTCTATTCTTGCTGTTTTTGATGTTTGGAATTGAGGAATATAATTAGAGGAGGTAGAAGGTTTGGCTAATTTTACACGAAGTTTATTTGCACTATCTAATTGATCAGTTAATAGTTCGTCTCCATTCTTAAGATGGTGCATGCTAGATTAGAACCCTTACCTTTAATTTCTGTATCATGTTCCATGCTTTGGACATGGGCGTTTCTGAATTTACTTTTGAAACACATTTATGCCAAGATTGGCGTTTACTTTGTTTAAACGTACGCATGGCTTAAGCATTTAAATTTCATTTAAATTATGTACCATGTGATGGCAACGGAAATATTATTCAGCCTTTTCCCGTGCCTTCCTAGCTTGTTTGCAGTAATTGTTAAACCATGGTTTACGGATGTGTGGATTTGTAGAGGACTTAGGAATACATTCATGAGCTATTTTGTTTAGTTCATCAGAAAATAATTGTACAGGGTCAGTTGCAGGGTTGTGATTTGTTCTGTGTAAGTATTTCAAACAAATGTCAGTTGGCCTCAGTAAAGTTCAATCTCGTTGAAGGAGGAACATCTGATTTTTGTTGTTGTTGTTTAACGCCACACTCGGCAATATTCCAGATATATGACAGCAGGCAGTAAAAAAACGAATCTGGACCAGACAATCCAGTGACTGACAACATTAGCATCGATCCACGCAATTGGGATCGATGACATGCATCAAACCAAGTCAGCGAGCCTGACCACCCGATCCCGTAGGTCGCCTCTTACGACAAGCATTGTCGCCTTTTACAGCAAGCATGGGTTGCTGAAGACCTGTTCTAATATAACCCGGATCTTCACGGGCCAGGAACATATGAAAGAGTGACGGGTTCTATAATCGTTGGGGAAATGGTCACTTCCACAGAGGTCTTCGTGGACGGACCATTCAAATTCGTTTAATGAATCTGAATCTGTAACTGATTAATCAATACGAGAGTTAGAACCTGTTCCTGATTGCGGTTGCACAATCAGCTTAGAGAATAGCTAAATGCAAAATTACACTTAAGGTTAATATTCAAAAGTAAAACTCTCAGCATGGAATCAATTAAGGCAACTGTACACTATTATAATACGGCTCCTTGTTTCCCACGCTTGTCCTGAAAGCGAACTGATGACTATTGGCAAGTTAAAATAGTTGCACTTCATTGTCCTGTATCTTTGTTTCCCAACGGAGTCAATCGTTTCCCCTCTATTTAAACACAGGTCTGTCTGATTCCCGACTCAAATATGTGCCGGATAGAGCTGGTTTAGCTGGGGAATTTCTAACTATGTCAATAAACAACATTCACTCATTTTAGATTAACCCATGTAATATGTGACAACTTAATTGTTCCATATTTGCATCTTAAAGCGTCCAAGCGTGGCACAACAGGATGTTACGAAAACCGTAAAATTATTATTATGAACTTCATAGAACATGTCCATATTACAGACAGCTAGATTCATTATGTCAAACAACTGCACGTCTTTACAAGAGGAAAACATTACAACGAGTGAGAAGGACCCGATTGTCAAATTTCAATCGACGTTTAAGCCAGTCCTTGATATAAGATTCTATCCATTAGAACGCGCACACTGAGATACCATGCCGCAGTTTAACATGAATACCCTACTCAGACACTGTATACTGACTCCGAGCCGACCAGTCCTTGTTTGAGCCCCATAATGCCGAGCGCCAGACAGGGTAACAACAAGTACCATCTTTTAACGTCTTTTGGTATGATGAACCCCGAACCCCGAACCCCGGACCCCGGACCTTCCGCTCTCCGGACGGACGCTCTACCATTAGACCACGGAGGCGGTTTTCAAAAGTATGAGACATTATTTCCAATGCATATGTTAAATGTAAATCAAACAAAAGCCACACATGCACATAAAGGCTATGAGCTATTGATATTTTGATAAAATTAAAGAAAAATGTAAAAGGTTATATAGAGCACAAAAGAAAAAAAACCCATCTTCCTGGTCTGTTCATTTCAGTGGATACACCAGGAACATGTTCTTTGATCATCACTAACCACGTCACGTTCACCCGTATGCGTGACTGAAATTATTATCATATAGACTATAAATAATGACTATAAATAGCCCGAAAGGTGGCGGTGTTCTAGTTTCGAACAATGACTGACAATGTAAACACAACCGAGTGTCGGGTTAAGCTTTTTGTAAATCGTACGTAAACAAGATCACCATTGACCGTCAAATAGTTTCATTGTAGACATTTGGAGGCATCAGACATAATGTTTGTCAGTGATGCGTCACACATGGAAACGTTCTCCACATGTCTACCATAAAACCTCCTGAAAGCCTCGCTAAGGCCTCGAATGTTGTAACCTTGATCAATCACCTTTTGAGCAAGATTCGAATGATTCTCCATGAATCTTCGTAGTAAAAGCAAGCTGGAATGTTCCTCAAATGTTGTAAAATGTAGACACCAAAGGCTGGAGCTGCTCGACATAAAGGGA